GAGAAGGTCATGTTGATCTTGAGGTCCTTCGAGCTCTTGATCGCGATTGAGCCGAAAGCCCATACCTGACGCGCCAGCTGTCGATGTTTCACCACCGATAGCCTGCCACGGGGGTACCCGGGGCAGTTTATTCAGGCTTCAGCGTATACAGAACTCGACGGTAAACGTAAGAGACAGTCGATTTATCCTGGTTCGGGTCCTCGACCGTGATCGGGTAATAGCCCTACGTCCAGTCGGCGTTAGCCTTTGCGTTAGATTGATTGTAAAGTGTTGTCTCTAACTCTCTTCTCCAACCTCTCCATCTAAGGAGCCCTGCCCTCCTTTATATAGTCAGGAGGCCAGAGTCCTATTCGGTTTACAATATAGAGTCCTAGTAGGATTACAGGGTAGTATTACTACTAGGATTACATGGGAGGAATCCTAATCAAACTAGATCTCCTCTCTTCCTTGCGGTGTATCTCGTGGGTCCCGCATCGACAGGTGCTTAGATATTATTTACCTACGGATGCATTCTGCACTTTTGGTCATGTGGTAGATCACGGATGTGACACTCCCGTTGAGTCCTTTGTAGTCTACTCCCCGTTTGTAGAGCAAGTAGAACACGGTTGCGAAGGGAGACAAGCTCTGTTCTTGATCTCCCTTAGTAATGTTCCTTATGCTAGATCCAGAGTTAATTATGCTATAGATGAGAGTGTATATACTTGGTTGTACAAAAGACTTAGTAAATAAGGAATGACTTAGAAATCTTTTGATCTTACCGAATCTCCTACCTAGCCATACTACATTTTATGAGTCTCTATTTCTATCTCTGGAATTATTATCAATGCTTCACACTTATCATTTATTTATCGTTTGACTTACCCCTGCCATAGCATGAGAGTGGTTTTATCATAAGTATACATATTTGTCAATATCTCTATGCCAACAATCCCATAGCTCATTCCTATGGATAAAATATAAATAATGATACTCGGTATACTCCCGGATGAAATGCTACAATGGTATATTATCTGTGCGCTTGCGGATACTTTACTTTAACATATATAATTTTCTCTAAGTTTACAAGTGTCATTAATAATTACCAACCACGCATTTCTGGCATCATGTTAGAGATGACAACTTAGTAAAGAGTGATGCTAAGAAATGTGAACACTCACATTAACACATATTAGTCCATCTAGGTTGTCTCTCAATTACCAAAATCAAACAAGAACCTTTCAATTATATAGATTAAAGTCCCTTGTACATTAATATTTCCAGTTATGCATATGCTTTCTCATCCACCATATGTATACGTACACTTCGGGGAGATTAGTCTATGTAATATGAGAGTCAAGTTTTATGATCAATTCCCTTCATGACTTTTGCAAGCGAAACGATAATATGTATGCACTTATTATGTAGTCACTTATTTGGTGTTTGATTTGTATGGACTTACTACTTATATGCACTTAATTTGTAGTAACTTATTTGGTGTTTATACTACCATCACGGATGTACTTGTCATATTATGTTTCGAGAAACAGATTCGAAACTCGTTTTGTCCCTATTGCTGGTCCTTTTAATTTGTGCATTTAAGGCTTTGTTTGGATGTAGTTAGATTCGCATCAATCCACATGTATTGGGGTGGATTAGAATAGAACTTAAACTAAATTATACCCCAATCCATCCCAAGACATGTGGATTGAGATGGATGTGACAACATTCAAACAAGGCCTAAAGTGTTCAATTATTCAAACTATATTTTCCATTTTTAACTATACGCTTCTCCTTAATTATAATATATTTTTACATTTCTTTCAATTTAGAGGTCTTGTCTTTTGTAAAATCGGTTAGGGTTCACACCTTTAGTGGTGGAGTTGTGACCATGTGACAACAGTCAAAAATACTTGAAAAGGTAAAAGTGCAACATTTCCAAAAAAATAGTGCAACGTCTCCAACGAAAAGGCAAAAGTGCAATGTTTCCATGTGATACTGTTGACAATCAAATTGGGCCCAAGCCAATTTAAATAGGCCCATGATAGTTATGGCCCAATCTAAGAAAAACTTCATAAAGCGACATTATATTAGTACCATATTGGTTTTCCTATGGGATAAGACCACCCTTACCCCTTATAAAATAAACGGTACATGGCTGATTGAGTTTCCATCTATCCAATCATCAAAAATACAACTATCAACTCCTTTTACCCCTTTTACTACTTCTCCAACCCCTCCTGCTGTTCGGTACGTCTCCCGGTGAGATTTGTTGGCATCTTAGATGGTCGTGCTAGTCTAGGAGATCCTCCACGTGCTCCTCCCAGATGGGTCTTCTCAGAAGTAGTTCGGGAGCTTTTTCAACCAAGAATGGGCTCTACATCGGCCTTATCAGTGTTTACATCAAAATTTGGGAAGAAGAACGCGGAAACTCGAAGCTTTCAGGATTGTGTCATCAATGAATCGATTAGATGTGAATCGGTATTAGCTGATAGAGATGTGATGTAAGAATCAGCTATTTTATAGATGACGTTGGTAAACGGCGTCAATGGGCTATACTTGAGTGGCGCCAAGAAGATGTGTTGGACTCTACAAATAGGGAAAATTGGGGTCTAAGTTATTATTAAGTTAGGAAGTTTTCTTTTATTCTAAGAATTGTAATGAGTCGTATTTGAGTAGGATTTATGTTTAGATTCTAGGTATAAATATTAGACCCTAGTTATTGTAAAAAAAGACGAACACTCAATCAATACAACTTTTCTGGCTTTCGCCATCGCATTAGTTGTAGGAGTACTGTAGATCTCGACGAGTTCCCCAGCAAACAGGACATCGACCGATCGACCTCTAGCTTGTTTGTGAATACCGCCACGACTTGTATTGTGCTTATAAAGCTGCATCGGCTGATTAATCTTTTATGAGCCGTAATATAAGTTAGTTATTGATCGGTATCATAGTTTGTCAGGCTGCATCAGTTGATTGATCTCTTACAAATCATAATATAGATCAGAGTTATCGGTCTTTGTGTTAAATAACTTATTGTTTAATACAATATCACCAGTTATCGAATATGCTAAGATTAGTAAGACTTTCCTTGATGTTTTTAGTTGATTTACCAGTTATCAATCTTGTTATAGTTAATGTTTTATTAATTATAACAAATCACCTGATTGTGATAGAGATAGATCGGCATCATATCATCTTAATTGATTGTCCTTTGATCTGGTCATGCTTTAAATCTCTTTCGCTAGATCGGCTGTTTTATCTCTATTCCAATCAAACATAGTATGCATCCAAAGACATGTTTCAGTCTTGAATAAACTCACTAGTTAATGAGATCTACTCTAATGACACTACCATAGCTACATCGATCTAGTCGAACCTCACTGGTAAGACTTTAGATTAGAAATTATCGATTAGTGGTCTTGTTCATGATCAAGATATGTACTCTGTTTGCTTGCTATGACTACATCGACTATTTTAGCCAATTTGCCGATACTCTCACACATATAGCATGTTTTCATGAATCGTTGACATATAGATGGTTTTATAGATTCTTTGACTTTAGTTTGTTATCATTATCATAGCTGCATCAATCCGGTCGAACTTCACTGTTGATGATAATAGATTAGATTCAGATTGTTTATGGATTCATTTATGGTAAAAAGTCGATTGTTCGCGTGTTATACTCTTTTCATCAAACTTATCGGCTCAATGTTTTATATTGATCATGTTCTATTTAGCCGATGATGTTTTCTTATATTACTTTATTGCTGGATGTCGACTCTGTAGTCGATGGCCATATCAATCGGCTATCTAGCCGTACATTTGGAACTGTTTGGTGCAATACCGACATATTCCACCTTAAATTACTGATAAGATTTTCTCTCCTTGTCAATTGCAGGTCAAACTGACTGGCACGTCGTTGGGTTTTTAGAATCGGCTGGTTCTGTGTTGAAGCCAAGCAGGTCTCTGGTCTCGTTCCACTCAAATCTTCTAACTTGCTGTGTGTTGATCACATCGCCACATTTTTGTGTCAACACACTTTTTGACACGTCGGTGGGACCACAATCGTCATGGCGGTTCACAACAACAAGGACGACCCACATTTCATTCAAGGGCAATGATGAGCTAGTCTCTGGCCATATATATGTATATGTGAGGTAATATCACAGCAAATATATTCAATCATCCTGCCAATAACACTAAGATTTTATATTATTATCATTCGGCAAAAATAACGTATCATGTAGCAAGCAGCCGAATAACCATCTTGTATATCACAGAGATATTGCGTTTACCAAAAACACAAGACACATAAACCCTTCACAAATTCAGTCATGGTTTAATAGATTACTTTGGCAAAATTCAAAGGCCGAATTTTAAGCTGTATGCAAAAACAAACTCACCTGAGCCGGCTCAAATAATTCTTTATCATTACTTCTTTGAACCAGCAAGCATGCTACCCACCTGCAATCCTTCATACAAGATTTATCCGATGCATCAAAATCTGAAAGCCATGACGACTAACGCAACGGCTATGCTATTTTTCTTTTCTCAGAACATGCTTATATGGCACAATAGCCAAATCTTGTATTTAATTCTTTTTTATCTAGGTCGATATTCAATTATATATCGGCCAAAATTTGCTCGAGAGACAATGATGAACCATGACCCCATATTTTCACTCTAGAGGCAACGATGAACTATCATCGGCCGTATATATATGTAAGCAAGTACCTGAGAGTTCTGTCAATGGCTCGAAAGACTTCATGTACTTCACCCATAGCTATTCTAGACTGATCAGAACCCAAGCACTTCAAAAATAATCCATCTATGGTTCAGCGGTATAATTCATCATTTAACAAAGTATATTTTAAAGCTTGTCACCAAATTTTCCTATCTCTTGTTTGACTTGGATTCTTTAAATAATTAACTACGGGGCTTCTCCAATCACCAGGCTCTAACGCACTAACAGATTCGGTTATTTGTGAACCTTGTACCGAATCTTCTTTACCATGTAATGGTTACTGCTGTACTAAACTAGCACTTGATGCACCCTGCACCCCAAAACTACTAATCTTTTCAGCTCCAGAACTCTCAATTTGACCCAAAACCGAACTAGCAACATGATTGGTCTCACTTTCGACTACAGCTAGCATTGGTTTTTCTATTATTAAAATCTTTCCACTAGTAACCTGGAAACCAGATGCTTGTTGGGCCAAATGATTAGCTCTAAAATTTTCTTCTCTAGATATATGGCGGATAGTAAAAGTGTCCAGAGACTTAATTATATCTAAACATCGGTCCAAGTAACTATTCAGCAATCCATCATCGAAACATTGAAATTCTGTTGAATGATTAAAGGAGAATCTCCAAAAGCATCCCTCACACCCATATATATCAACTAAACTTTGCAAGCCAAACAACAATGCCTCATACTCAGTTTGATTATCAGTGCAAGGATATTCTAAGTGAACCGATGTTTCATAAACTACATTCTTTGGCGAAATCAAAATATTATCGACGCCTTGTCCATCTCTACAAACCGATTCATCAACAAAATAAAGTTTCCATGGGCATACACTAACAAGGCAAATATGCTCTTCATCTTTTATTCTCTGATTAACAATAAAATCGGCCACAACTTGACCTCTCACAGCAAGCAACGATTCATAAGTTAAATCATATTCTACTAGTGCATAAGCCCACTTTCTAATTCTACCACTAATTAAGAATCGGTTGTTGCAACATATATTTACTCATCACTTAGTCATAGATCAGGCCAATTAATATCAAGTAATGAAATAATCTGGTCAAAATAATGTTTGATAGCTGTATTAGCTAATGAACCGATTAATTATCAACTTGTCAGTGTAATTCGGCCAAAACTAATAAAGCATCGGACGATGGTAAATAAAGCATCGGCCTTATTTTAGGAGTTCATATAGTTTCGCTCACAACAAAACATATTCATACCTTTGTGTGCGGAATACCATGCTAGTTCAACAATGAATCTCCATCGACCAAGCTTCTATTTTCATCATCGCTAGCCAACACCTATACTTGTTTTGGCCTCCACACCTTCTTAATGGACATCACAGTCATATTCTTGTCAAATCCCAAATCGCCCAATTTTTGCACTTCCTTAATTTCTATGGCTCGAAGTCGTTGTACCCGTCGCTTTTGTGTATGTGTGAGACCTGCCGGGCGCCACTGAGGTTTCGGTTTGGTTCCTGATGCAACTGAACTAATTCTGCTGCCCCCCAAGAACCTTGGTCGGTAGATGAATGCTGTTGTTTTTGGCCTAAACAGATTGTAGTTGCCCGAAAACTCTCTCCATTGATCAGACATGCCACCAGGCACAACTTCCTTGCTGCTGCTTCCTATATTCTTATGCTGCATAGGCCTGCCAGTGTTCCATTTAAAGCCTGCAGAAAACACGTCCTTGGGGTTCCCTGTGTTACTACTTCTCATGACTGAATTGACAGGAATACTGGACGATTCAGGCTTCTGACTAGTCATTCCCAGAGTCCCCTGAACCTGTTCCACGTTTCAGAACTGAACCATACCGAAATCTAACAGCTTTATTTATGTTCAAATTAACACCTGCAGGCTGCAGCCAGTTCAGGTTTATCAATCAAGATGTCGTCGGTTTTCATACCATGAATAGCCCCTAGCGCATCTGAACCTGTCACAGATTGATTGCAATCTCTGGACTTGAGTGGCACCCACTTAAACTGCTGTCCACCGATTTGGATCAGCCCGTCAACGTTGTGCCTGGGCAGTCCAACAACACCATATGCTTCATGACCAGCATCATACCTAGACGAGACCCTCCTGGCACCCAAAGCATGACTGCTCAATTTTGAACTTCCAGCAATACTATATCTTTCTGAATTAAAAGCTTCACTAACTAGAATCTCTTCTCCACCATGAACAAATATAGTATCTCTTGGCCTGTGATCTTGATATGGAAACAGTCCAGTGCCCTGCTGTTGTAACCATCTCCTTTTGTTGTGCACTTGCTGCCCAAACAGCTGCCCTGCAGGTTGCCAACCATGATGGAGGAGATGTGCATTTTCTGTGAAGTCCGGATCATGGCAGTTAAACCCACGTGATGGATATGGCATTGGCATATTAGGTGGACATTCCCGGTACATATACTCCATTGGAAAATATAGCTGTCGTGTATACATATTCTCTCGCCAATGCTTGCAATCATCAAAACCTCGTCTAGAAAAAGACTTAGTATGCTGGAAATAATCAGGCCGATTAGAACCTTTGACGGTCTTTTCTTTTTCATATTTAGCCAGAAGCGGTTGGAACGTCACCTTCGGCTTTCTCGATTTCATAGTGCTAGGGGCAGATGTTTGGGATACACTCTTAATATCTATGCTAATTTTAGGGCCCAAACCATTTTCTTCTTTTGGCTCACAACTTTGCTAGGCTTTTTAATCTTATCATGAAAAAGGTCACTGTTGATTTCACTAGCACTACTTTCTTGCCTTTCGTTGAAACTGCCTGTTTTGGCCGAATCAAAACCTTTTTATCCTCAAAATTAATTACATGTTTGGGGTTAGGTTTTTCAATTGACCAGTGCCCCCAATCCCTTGAGGTTCTATAGAATCGAACCGACCTTTGACGATAGACGATTGAACACTGTCCGATACTTCAGAATTACATTCTTTGACATTGCTAATATCGGTCTTTTTATCTATACTAATTTTCAGATCTTTATCACTACTTTTAACACCACCCGAATTACTCTCTAATTCGGCTATCTCAACCTTGCTTGAACTTGCATTATCTGATAACTCAGCACTGTATTTGATCCCATTAAAATCAGTCTCTTTTATTTTATCAGTTATCAATTTAATATTTTGAGTAGCAAAATTATCATAAAACATGTCCCTTAAAACATGTCCCTTACTTCACTAAAATATTGTCGCTCGAGACATATAACAGAGGACTCCTAAGATCATTACCAAATTATCTGATATAAAGACTTTATTAAATTGAGAAATAGGCAATGTATTTGTGATCTGAATTTGGTGGAGGAAAGTGATTTACTTACCTAGGTGAAGCAGAGTGGTCTGATGCAGCTACATTTTTTACGACGCCGTTCCTCGTCTTCTGAAGGCCTACTAATTTTCTCTGTAGACTCTCCTGCCTCTCTTCCTTGAGCTCCCGTTCAATTTTGCACCGTGCATCTTCAGATAGATCGTCGAGCGTGATTGAATCCGAACAAGTATTGTTTTCTTCGGCTCTTTTAATAACCGAATTATCATTCATATCCGAATCAATTTTATTTTCTTTTGAACTTGGACGAGGTTTGAAACCATATTCTATAAGAATCTTGTCAATTAGGTCCTTACAAAATTGAGATGGCTCTAGAGAATTAGGTTGTAGCACAGATGCAACATAGGTATGTGGTTGTAACTCCAGCAAAGAGGGTTGAGCATGCGACGTATGCTGCGGAGATACATTAGAATACACATTTGGAACTGGTTCACACGGAACCCGATACCTATAGGTGGCGAAGGTGGTTTGCTACACGCTACTTCTTGATAAAAAGGCTGTTGCACATCAGAACTAAAGCCAACACTTCGGTCATATGTGCTGAAGTTTTATGAAACCGAAGTTAAAAAGGAAGAATTATTAGTGTTAGGTACAAAACAATTGGCCGAATAAGCATTATTATGCTGGTCATCATGATTACACAACGGCATGTGGGTTTGTGATGACATTGGTGTCATAAATACTGCCGATGTACTAGAATTGAAAAGGTCATGTTGTATATTGCTTACATGATTAAAATTAGAAGCATAAATATGATGTTGCATCGGCTCTGTATAATTCTGAACTTGATAATCTGGGTAGCTAAAACTACCATTCGACAGATCAATAGCCGATGAAACAGGTCCACCAACATGCCTAGCAATATTACTATATGAATCCATCGTAGCTGCAAACAAGATAAAATATCGTACTTACAGATTACGCTGGCGTGGATGAACGAAATTGATGATGATATCGAAATTGATGATGATATCGTGCTCTGCTGGAACCAACGCCTGTAGTTTTCTGCTATGGAAGAATTGCTGCTGGTTTCTCTCCGTTATCCACTTTCTATGACGAAAAATAAAAATAGCAGCTACTCTGTTGCTTTGGCTTGCTGCTTGAAAATCGATCTATTAAATATTAGCCGAACCAAACTTGGACGTCGGCCTTTGACGAAATTGCTGGTGGCGTATTGATAGATGGCCGAATCAATGTTAAAATCGGCCTCTTGTTTGTCGATGAAGAATTTCTTCCCAAGCGGAGTCGCCAATTATGTTGGCACGCGAAACTGATCTGCGCAACAACACGATAACTATCGTACTTTTGCGACGACGAACGACTAGTTTTCAGGAGAAACTAGCAAAGGAGTTCCTCGCTTTCGTGGAGGAGAGCCGACCGTTTTTCAGTGTAAAATCGACAAAGATTACCAATCCCTAATGAAGATTAGGTTTCGGTATGTACGTCCTAAGGTAGAAGAAAGAACAAATAACGATGAAAATAGTAAATATATTATATCGATTGGCTAGAGAGGCTTTTGCAATCGGCCATGACCTTTAAATAGGGGGCTGGACTTTGCCGTGGAGTTTGAGGACTCTATAACAGATACGTATACTACTAGTGCATATATACATATACATCAAATAAAATATCTTTCCTAAATCTTCTTGCTTCGTTTGGCTCTGCACGGTTGAACCTGGGACATATGACACGTTATTATCCAATCCGAATAGAACTCCTCTGGCCAGACAATTAATATGTGCAAAGTATTTTCTTGATCTCCTTCCCGTTTCTTCATTGCTATCTTTTTCTTCACACGTGCACTCCAGAATGCATCAATCTGGCTTCCGACCTCCATATGCAAGTATTCTTGACCTGTAGCATGTCAACCAATTTTGATTTATTAATTATCAATAACCTATATAATTTGGTCGATTATATTCTCCAGCCAAATTACACCATCAACACCTCGGACGGTAGGCCAGTACTGTTCCTTTGTGGGCTCCGCTTGTCAGCACTCACAGTAGAGAGAGGCGTGCGCGTTGCTTAGGCATCGGACCGGGCGGTCTGGTCCGATGGCCTTGGGCAACCGAGTCTGTCTGTACCTCTCGGTCTCGGGTGCTCTCTGGTTACGATTTGTTGGGCATCGGACCCTGCGGGAGTTTGAGTTTCATTCGACTCATTTCTTCTCTTTTTTTAAATATTATGCTACATCGTCAAAAATGTCAACGTGGCAGCTCATTAAATACGGATAAAACTTGAATGAAACTCTCAGTGAGACTGGTGTTAGTATAACCGAACATTAATTAATGTACACGTTCCCTGCTCTTCGTCAAGCATTCAACTGAACCTGGTCTTTCCACCTTCTCGCTTGCATCGATTGCCCCTGCTCTTCAATTGCATGGATAGCGGACTGCTCACCTTTCTCACGATTAAAGCCTCCGCACTTCCTGGGCTTCCCTTCAGTCGACCTCGACGTTCTGTGTCGACCACGGACGGCGACATGCGGCATGCTGGCGTGACCATGTCTCAAGTAGTACCCAGCGACTAATATGGCTTCATTGAATTCCTCGCGACCTGAACATCCTCATCAAATCATCAACCTATTCAACAACAAAAGTTACTGCTTTCCTCCTACTTCCATGCGTACGTTTAGTTTTTGTACTTCATCATTTTTAGCTGCCTTGATGTTAGCAATGATGTTTACTTCAATTTGTCTATAGTTCTTGGTGAACCAGTTACCCGCAATAGCCAATAAGGCTTCATCAGGGAATTGGAACGAAGAGACAAAGGCACTCCAACAGGCACAGGGAAGGAATGGAAGACACTAAGGAACTTGCAACAATTGCTGCATGGAAGGCTCTAATAAAAATAATATATTTGCTATTTTGCTTTCATAATTTCACTATTTGTCACTTTTGTCAACTAAGTCAATGCGATAAATTCCCGCAGCAACGCATAGGGTATCATGTAGTAATCCAAAATTTGAACAGTTTAGTCAGTCCACCTGAAAAAATACTTGATTCTTGTCAGATGTGTGATCCGAATGTGACAAGTGGATAAGGCTATCTCCAACAACAACACCTAAAATACAAGACTCATTCGTTTTTTGGGTAGCGCTACAGATAAAGGGTTCAATACCTATTCGGCATGTTCTCCAACAACGAGATCTAAAAGAGAATCATTTCTGCAAATGAGTTTCTAGAAAGAGGATGCTTATATTTAGGTTGTGCCTCTCATGCAACCCAAAATAGGTCTCTAGTATACGTACTCTGTTGGAGGCTGATTTTAGATCTCTTGCTATCTATTTTGAGTTTAGGTGTCCATGTAAGTTCTTTGTTGGAGATGGTTTAAGCAATAGAATCCTGCAGAGACATGGTAGAGACTCACGCACAGGAAGAAGGCTAATTCAACGTTAGCAACATTGTGATCAGGTAAGAGGGAGGCACTCTAGCTGAACTTGTCACTATTCTCGTATGTAATCGCCCTTTCCAGCCTTGCCGGCCCTCGTAGGCTTTTCCTTTCTTGTATTATGAACTCTATTCTCTTAGGGCATGTTCGATAGGACTGAAAAATACTGTTCTGGTTGATTGTCGTGAGAGAAAAATACTGTTCTAGCAGGACGTAAATAGTGATTCCATGAGTTGGCTGGCCAGCCAGCCAGCCGGCTTAAAGCCAGCCGAACACGCCCTTAATGAAAATGAAACGCAATTCTCTTGCGTTTTCGAGAAAAAAAAAGGAGGCACTCAATGTCTATGACTTCTTAGAGCAATTAAAATCCATATGAAAACTGCAATCAAATTTGAAGGATTGAATTAATTAAAAGCCAACAGCCATTGGTCTTCTATTGGCACGAAGATGACGGATCGAACGTAGAACCCGGCCCCTGCGAGTAAGAAACAAGATTCATTTAACATATGATAGGCAAACAATCTACTTTCTCCGTACACGAAAGGATGCAATTCTCATATTTCGATGAGTCAAATAGTTTAAACTTTAACTAAAATTATATGAAGAAATACTAACACCTATGAGACAAAATAAATACTATTAGATTAGTTGTAGAATATATTTTTATAATAAATTATTTAGAAACATAAATGCTAATATT